CCAGTCCTATTAAATACAGTTCTGAAAATCCTAGCCAGAGCAACCAGACAAAAGAGAAAAATAAAGAATTAAAGATAGGAAAGGAAGAAGTTAAATTATCACTATTTGCAGACGACGTGATACTCTACATAGAAGACCCAAAAACCTCCATTAAAAGAATACTAGAGGTAATACACAAATTGTGCAGTGTAGCTGGATACAAAGTCAGTACTAAAAAGTCAATAGCATTCCTGTACACAAACAAAAAATTCCAAGAGAGACAAATTATGGAAATACTATCCTTTGCAATAACATCTAAATAAGTAAAATAGGAACCAACCTAACTAAGAATGTAAAAGATCTATATGCCAAAAATTATGCTATGCTAAAAACTGAGATTGAAGAAGATATTAGAAAATGGAAGGCTATTCCTTGCTCTTCTTTAGTGATGTTATCTTCAACATAGTGAAAATGGCTATTATCACAAAACTGTTATACACATTTAATGCAATCCCATTCAAAATACCACTGACATACCTCAGAGATCTAGAGAAAACACTCCTAAATTTCATTTGGAAACAGGAGAAACCTAGAATGGCAAAGGTAGTTCTGGGCAACAAAGGCAAGGCAGGAGACATCACAATCCCTGATGTGAAACTATACTGCAAAGCCACAGTGATGAAATCAGCATGGTACTGGCAAAGAAATAGACCTGAGGGTCAATGGAACAGATTAGAAGAAGCAAAACGACTATGAAGACACTCAGCCACCTGATATTTGACAAAGGGGCTAAACATGTTCACTGGAGGAAGGATAGCCTCTGTAATAAATGGTGTTGGAAAAATTGACTCTCCACATGCCGAAGACTGAAACTAGATCCATGGCTATCACCATGCAAAAAACTAAAATCTAAATGGATCAAAGATGTAAATATTAAAACAGAAACACTAAATCTATCAGAAGACAAAGTAGGCAGAAATCTTGGAAACAGGGGGGTAGGCAGAGAATTCATGAACAAAATGCAAATTGCACGAGAAATGCTTCAAAGAATCAACAACTGGGATCTCATCTTATGGTAAAGATTTTGCACTTCAAAAGAAATCACCAGCAGAGTGAAAGGAAAACCCAAAGAATGGGAAAGAATTTTAGCTAGAACCCCCTCAGACAAAGTACTTATATCCAGAACATATAAAGAACTGAAAAACATCAAGACCCTCAAAATCAAAGACCCTCTCCAAAAATGGATATTGGAGATGAATATACATTTCTCAGATGAAGATAAATGGCAAATAAATATATGAAGAAACGTTCACCATCACTGGTTATTTGAGAAATGCAAATTAAAGCAACATTGAGATTTCATCTCACTCTGGAAAGAAAGGCTACCATCAAGAAGTCAACTGATACCAAATGTCGGTGAAGCTGCTGGGGGAAAAGAACACTGCTCCACTGTTGGTGAGACTGTAGACTGGTGTGGCTACTATCTAAATCAGAATTCAGATTTCTCAGAAGCCTGGGATTGGAAGTTCCATTCAATCCAGCCAATCCTCTCCTGGGTATTTTCCCAGAAAAACTGAAAAGTCATGTCACATTGACATATGTGCACCCATGTTCATAGCAGCCCAATGAGTAATAGCTAAATGTAGGAAATAACAAAATGCCCTTCAAATGCAGAGTGAATGAAAAATATGTGGTATTTTTATACAATGGAATATTACTCAGCTATAAATAGAATTATCTTGAGGCCTTCATAAGTAAATGGAGGCAACTTGAGACTATCCTCATAAGTGAAATAAATAAGGAACACATTTATGAATATCATATTGTGTCTCTAGTGTAGATAGTAATAAGAACTGTAGTTCAGGAGTAATTAAACTCAAAATGTATAACTACTAATGTAAAAATAAGAGGAAGAGCTCACCTACCTAGTAATTGGCTGGGGCTTGGGCAATCTGTGGCCGCCCCAGCGGCACAACCATCAGTGTCTCCCAAGATCCATGCCATGTTGGAACTGGGGGTGCTGGGAAACCAAGCCATCATCTTGTTTCGCTAGTAAGTGGCTGTGGCTCAGGCAAGCTGTGTCCACCTCAGGAGGACAACCACCGGTGTCTCCCGAGATCCGTGTCATGTTGGAACCTGGAGATCTGGGAAACCAAGCAACAAGCTCCCCTCTCTGGTATGTGGCCATGAGTCTAACTTGCATGTGGGCTGAGAATCAAAAACCCCATCCTCCCTTCCCCCAATTAGCAAATGGGAGCCAGAGATCTGAGCATCTCTTGGGAGGTTGATCTATGCAATATTTCAAGTAAAGGGAATTTCCTTCTACCTTCTTTTGGAAGGCAAACATTTTTTTCACTGTTTTGCGTTGTTCTGACTAATTGTATTGAAAGAGTTTTTGGTGCAGTGAAAGAGACAATACAAAGTATAAAAAAATAACAGCCTTTATTCCAAGGACGTGAAGAGGAGTCCATGACCATAGATGGCCTGGGTCCCTCTGATCGGAAGGTGGAGTATGGCATATATATATATATATATATATATATATATATATATATATAAAACCTTTGATGAGGGGTGGTGCTTTGGGTAAGCATTGATGATGCACAAGGAGCCAATATGAATTTTCTTCTAGTGCAAACAGGAAGGGAAGTTGCAATTAAGGCTGAGGACGAAGCAGGAAGTGGTAGGCATTCTCACTTTGGCTTTCTGCAACATTAGATGACTGCCATAACTATACAGTAATTTATACTAGGGCAAGAACCTTTCAGGTATTGCTACATTCAATATTCTGTTTTCATAAGTTCTATAATGTTCTGTGTTTCATTTGATTTTGCTCTACATGATTGAAAGAACTATTGTGAAGATAATGAGATGTACTATAGTACTTCTTGCTGTTATCCTGGTAACTTGCTTTGAAGTTCTAAACCAGTCTCACTGCACTATTGTCTCTTTTGGCTTTGTTCCATCTTGTTTTGTTGTATTTTACTACCTTCAAAATAATAAATTTTTTTTAAATGAGAGGAAAAGAAAGTGCTTTAAAAGATATAATTGCATGCATGTGTAAGTGTGTAAAATAGATAAACATATTACTATGTTTTTGTTGGATCATTCAACAGAACTGTTTGTAGTCTTACTGTTTGAATGTCCACTTTGTGTGCTTTAATTTTACAACTTTAACAACTATACTTAAGATGACCATATGTAATTTATCAACTAGTGTTTTCTTATTGTTCATATTTTTTGAAATTATTATTTCTACTTTTTTTCTCCTTAAAATTTAAAAAAAATCTTTAAAAATGAAATCATATGATGAAAACAAAGAAAAAGAGATTATACATATATATATATATATATATATATATATATATATATATATCAGACAAAATAAATAGAAACAAAACCATATCAAGACACAATTTATAGTTGCTGAAAGCAAAGACAAAAACAAAAATCTAAACACCAGAATCAAGTGGGACAGGCACAACCATAAACTAAGAAATTAACTTGTTAGCATAAATAATGGAAACTGGAATTCAATAGCATTTCATATTGAATATGGTCAACAAAATTAAATTCCAAAATGACACTGTGTGCTTAGTAAAAATATCCTTCCAAAATTAAAGTAAAATAAAAGTATTTTACACAAATAAAATTGCAAGTTTTAGGGTTGTTAAGTCTAACAGCAATGAGGTGAAAACTGACTGAAAGCTGATATATTTGCCTTATCACTTGGATTTGCTGATGTGTTGGAGTACATAAAAGAAAGAAGCTTCAAAGATGACTCTTTTGTTTACCTATTTTAATTCCTTATTTTGATATACTTTCAAACTTACAAAAAGATGTGATAAAGTTTCTCAAAAAATTACTGTAGATCCCCGATCCATTACTTGAACGTTAAAATATCACCTCATTTGTTGCATCATATTGGTTCAGAGAATTTTGGAAGATTATTTATCAAAACTCCTTAAGAATTGCTTGAAATTCTTTTCCTTTAGAAAAATATTTGAGATTGGCATCGTGATGCACACCTGTAATCCAGCAACTCTGAGAGATAGATGCAGGAGGAATTTGAGAACAACTGAAACAATTGAGCAACTTATCAAGACCCTACCTCAAAAAAATAAAGGCTATCATGTAGCCCAGTCTGATGTCCATGGATTTAATCTCAAATATTGTATGGAAGAATAAAAGGGAGGGAAGGAGAAAAGAATGAAAACATCAGTGGTAGTGTTGATAGATCATTATTTTTTTTTTTTTTTACTTAGTCTTTTTGAAACTCCGTGCAGTTAAGGCTAGCTTTGAACTCTCTTTGTAGCCCATTCTGGCCTTTAACTCACAGTAAGCCTCTTGTCTCAGCCTCCAGAGTGCTGGGATTACATGGATGTGCCACCAAGTCTCACAGAACCATGAACGACTTCAAATAAAATACTTTCTGCAATATTTTTCAATGCCACCATCGCCCCTACTTTGGGTTGGACCACTTAAATAAAGATCATCTGTGATTATAATTTTTTCATGGAGGTTTTCATGAATTCTCTATTTTATCAAAGGTCTAGATCAGCAAGAGTTGTTGTGACCGTTTCCTGATCTGCAGACCATACTTATTGTCATTGTTGTTGTTGTTGTTATGAGTATTTAGGCTTTGATGGGGATCCCAGTTTGAGAAGGAAAACTTCACATTTTACCTTTCAAATCAGGGATTCCTGAGCCTTATCTGTGTTTCTACAGCTCCCTGACAACCCACAAAATGGAAACTGAAACTCTTCAGACCTATCAGCTCTCAAGAGAAAAGCCCATTTCTGTCATTTCTCTTGTGATTTCTATTTTTACTTCATCTTGATAGCCTACAATTTTTACCTCTCTGTAGGTTTAGCAATGATGTGCCAAAGTTGTAATATATCATACAAAAATACTGCACAGCAGTTGCCATGACATTTCAATGAGATCTAATGTCAGAGTACCTTCTTCTTCTGTCATAGTGCATTCAGGTTACTATAACAAAGTACCATGGACCAGATGAGTTATGAACAACAGATATTTATTCCTTATGGTTCCAAATCTTGAAAAACCAAGAATGTGGTGCCAACATAGCAGGGCACTGGTGGGGGTCCTCTTGTACACTTGAATACTTGAGGAATAGAAGGTGAGAGAAATCACGGTGGCTCTATCTTTATGGCATTAATCTCAATCATTTTGGCTTTATCCTCTTGACAAAATGACACCTTCAAAAGAACCCCTCTTAGTATCATAATATTTGGAGTTAAGGCTTCAAGTTTAAATTTTGGAGGAACACAAGCATTCATCTGTAGTATTCTACCACCCTTGAAAGTCACAGCCTTCTCACAGGGAACAATACATAATTACAATCCCTACAGTCTTGATTATTTCCAGGATCAGTCCTTTAGAATTTTAAGTTCAAAGTTTCATCCAAATATAATTTAAATAAGATATGGGGAAGAGAGGCAAAAATCTTCTTAAATTGTGAACTTGTTAAGTTAAACGAGTCATTTAAAACTATGATTTAAAACTATGAGTCATAGGCACTGGGTAAACATTCCCACACCAAAAAAAGGGAAATAACAAAGATAGTGTGATGGGTAGCCAGCAAGTTCAAGACCTAGGAAAGCTAAATCCACAAGATCTTACATCCCCATAATAATCTCTTTGAGTCCCTGTTGTACACTCTATTCAGGGATTTTGTAGAGCTGGTACTGTCTTCACACAGTCCTTTGCATGCAGATGTATGGGTACGGAGTTGAACAGTTTTCTGTGTAGCCTTTAAAATTTGAGCCATAGAGAGCACACTTTCCATTCTGCGTGTCCATCAGTGTGAGTCTGGAGAGGGAATTACAAAGAATTCCATGGTTACATTAATACAGTATTATGAAAATAAAATAATATTTGCAGCATTTCAAATATAACTGCTTAAATGATATTTCAGGATATTTCGCGACTGTGCTTAGCCTTCCCAGTTCATAGACTTGAAGATAGAACACATTCAGATAATACAAATAAACTTGTATTCTATTATAAATTATATGCCACTGTTTTCTCATACACTGGAAATTATTCAGTTCTGAAATCTGAAGTTCTTCACATTTGTACTTGAATAAAACATGAGCTCTGAAATGTTTAGTTAAACATAAATATTTATGAATGAAGTGAAAATTCACTTTACAATTCATCAGTTAGAATTTTGGGCAAACATAAAAAGAACATGCTTCATGAATAGCCAATCTGCTGTATTACAGGTTCTGAATCTGCGTATTCCACTAATAGTGCTATTTCTCCATGTATTTCAGACACTTTCAGAGTTTTTTTTTTAAAATCTCATAAACAATATAGGATAGCAGCTGCTTACATAACATTAGTGAGCATATATTTCATTAAGTGTTATGCATATATAGAATTAATTTACACAGGAGGGTGTGTGTTGAGTACGTGCACACACTATTAATGGGGTAAGCACCTGTGGATTGATGTCAGTTCCATGAAGAGTGGGGAGGAGTCTTGGAACCAATACTCCAAGAATACCAACAAATGACTGGCTATGTAACTTTACTCAGTGAAGAAATGAAGATAAATTATAAAATTCGTATGCATGTAAATATATACACACATGAACAAGCATATATGTGTTTGTGTATGCTGCCCTTTATGTGTAAGTATTCCACGAAGGATATCTACATTTATATACCTATAGATCTATGTGTATCTGCATTTCTCTGTGTCTGTGTCTGTGTCTGTATCTGTCTGTTTGTCTATCTGTCTCTCTCTCTCTCCCTCTTTCTGTCTCCCTGTCTCTTTCATTCCCTTTCAGACACCTTTATATTTGGGGTTATATGTTTAAAATAATAATTGGGCTTTTTTTCTTCCAAGAGCAGGTCAGAACTAGAAGATTCAAGAAAAGTTGATGATGCTTCTTCAACATGAAATTGACCAAAGAAAAGACCATAGTTTGATACTGTCTGGATTTTAAAAAGCAAGAAATTTTCTTAGTAGAATGGAAATAATAGGCCACTGGAATAGAAAGGTCCAAGAGATTTTTAGTATCTGCTCTGAGTGTGTCTCAGTCTAAGCATAGTTGAGCCTCAAATTAATTATTTATACTTTATAACTGTAAATACATTGTTGGGGTACAATTTCATGTGTTGGTACATGTATCCACTATATATTGACCAAATAAGAGTAGTTAGCATTTTCCTCACGACATGCATTTATCATTTTGGAGTCCTACAGCACAATAGTTAATAAGTAAGTTATTCTATATTTTAAAGTAACCAGAAAAGAGATTTTTGAATGTTCTTCATTGCAATGAAATAATAGAATCACTTTTCTAATTTCAATTTCTTTATATGTTCCTTTGATTTCTATGTGTGTTTTTCCCTACCACTGTCCTCACACTGCTACTAGAGTCCAATTATGCTGGATCACACTTAGCTGTTTATAACTGTGTCTCTGACTGCAGTATGAGGCTCAAGAAGGGGTTAGAGTATATTCATCTCCAGTCATATCTGCCCAGTTCCTGAAAACTGAGCATGTTCCAACACTATTCACTATATAAATAAATATAAATTAGTATGCCAATGTTTTTGCTTCTGAAAAAATTTTTGCACTTGAAATAGGAAAACACTGAGATGATATGACACAAAATTGTCTTGGTATTTTCAGAGAACAAAATCTCTTGATAAAAATAAAGCCTCAAATAATGCAGAAATGAGTTCAATTCTAAGCTATCCTGGGCCCTCCAAATCACAAATATAAAATGAAAAAACAAGATAGTAACTGTTATAATGAACACAAGGGAAAACTTAAATGATAGTAACAGACTGTTCATTGGTTAAAGCCAACTAGCAATTTAAATACCAAAGTAAATTGAAAAATTAATGAAAAGACTATTCTTCTCAGTCACTTACTGATAACTCTGGTACTAGAATCAGACGTATATGAGTCTAAATCCTGCTGTAACAATGATGAATTTTTATGGCTTAAGTTAGTAATTACACTCTCTGTTTCTTACTATTAATTAGGATAAATTAGTACTTGTTGATATAGAATTTTTAACAGTAGTTATGAAAAGACACATATAAAGTACGAACAAAGGTGTCCGACAGGAATTCATTAATCTAACATTAGAATTGACGTTTTATTGCTTTTATAATTTATAGAATTGGATATTCAAATAACTATTATAAACTTGAAATAAAAATTTTCAAGTCTTTGTAGACTAGAAATCTGGCTGCTTTTGTGATAGGATAAAACCAAAGAACAGAAAAAGCAAAAATGTCAATGTTGATATTTACTCCAGAATGGAAAGTTACTGAGCTGGGTATTGATTGATCACATTTTTCAAGTGGTAGAAATGATCTGTTTGAGAGTTCCTCTAGCATTCACCCAGAAGACTAAGGTGAGGTTCATGAACTAGAGAATACTAAGGTGTTGTTACTTAGCCCTGGCAACTCTTTGTCCTGGGTGATTGAAACAGCAAGCTGCATGTCTTGGTTACTCTTTTCTCATTGTTGAGACAAAATACCTGATGCCTCACATGAAGGAAGGAAAGGTTTATTTCTTAGATTTTTGGAGATTTCAGTCCATACTCAGCTGGCTCCAAGGCGGGGTGATATGGCTGAGAGGCAACTCTTCATGGTGGCCACAAACAGCAAAAGCCAAAGGACAAAAGAAAAGCATGCCTCCTTCCTTCTCTTACATTGTATGCTGGTCCTGCCCCTGGGTTGGTACAGTGCTCACACCACCAGTCCCAGTGCTAGACAATGAACCAATCACAAATGTTAGACTCAGCTGCCTCCATGATTGCATGAGGCTTGTGGAGGGCATCCAAACACAAACCATAACAATGTACAAAAAGGATACATGGAGTCCCTGAGACCCCATAAAGACCAAGGCACCAGTAACTCACAGGAGACCAAATTTACAATGAAAGAGTTGAACAAGTAAATAAAACTGAAGTCCTATAAAAGGATCCTTTAAGCATGCAGCACAGTGCAACAAAACATTTTCATACATATGTGCAAGATAACTACCATTCAAAAACTATGAGACATGTTTAAAAGGAACAGTACCAGTTTTTACCTCAAGTCTGAAGCATACTTGCATTCTCTAAGACTCCTTTCATAGAGCATTTAGTAGAAGGGAAGAAATATCACAGATAACAATAAGGATCTATGAGAAACAGTAAAGTGCACCAGAAAGTGGCACAAATATATAATTTATATTTCTTCTTTTTTACATAAAACACTTAAAATGTAATTGACTGCTTCAGCGAAATTAACCATACTCTTCCATGAAATTTATGAAGTACATAATGGTAAGTGTATGACTAAAATAGTACACAGTTTGAGAAGGGAAAAATAGAAGGGCAGTACTGAAAGAATGTTACACAGATATATCAATGGATAAATTGAGCATACATGCAATAAACTAGAATAGCTTTAAAAACAATTAAAATCATTGTTACTTAAAATATCTAGCAATTAAAATTTCTACTAAACCATACAAGAGAAAAATACTAACATAGGTTAAAACGTTTTTTTTTAAAAAACTTGTAAAATATTCAGGTGTGGTGGTACACATCTATAATCCCAACACTCAGGAGACTGAGCCAGAAGGATTGCTTCAAGTTCAAGACCAGCCTGCAATACATAGTGAGTCCATACCAGCCTAACTGCATAGTGAGATTATGTCACAAAAGAAAAAAACTACAAATGAAAACAGTAGGAATAGATACTAAGTAGAGCAAATGAAAATAAATAGCAAGACTATTTAAACTTAGTCATATAATTGTGTTGAATGTAAATAGCCTAAACATTTTATTAAAATGCATAAATTATCAGATATCATGAATAAATTGAACTTCAGCTATACTGTCTATAAGAGACTCACTTTTTAAATATCAAGTCATAGGTAAGTTAACTACATGTAAATTAAAAATAACATGCAACATAATATTAATCAAAAGGAAATTTGAGTAACTTTATATTGGAATAGTAGAATTTCAACATATTACTTCAAGAGCTCATAACTTAGTAATAAGTCAAATTCATGAAGAATATATAAATTTTAAACTTTATATACCTAAAAACAGAACTTTGAAATGTATCAGACTAAAACTATTTGAACTACAAATAAAAACTCATCTATATAGTACAAATTTTCAATACTTTCATATAAATAACTGATAGCTTTATCAAAAATAATCAAACAAATTCACAATGGCTAATTTTGCATACTTCCCTAAGAGATAAATAGTACTATCCTTGGGATTAAGGTATCACCTTTTTGAGATTTCCCACTACCGCTGTTGGGATGAACCATCCTCTCCCACCCACTAAAACTAACTAAAACTATGAAAATTAAAGAGAACACTCCAGAATAAGATCCTTTATAGCATAAGATCATTTCCACCCTCTTGAGTCATCACAGGATTCTCTGTTGCTTGCTGAGTCACGACCTCTGAATCTTGCACCTTCCAATAGCCCCACTACACTGCATACACCCAATAAATAATGGCTGGTTTGAGTAGCTTGGTCATCGTGAGGCATTGACCTCCCAGCCACCCATCATTCATTATTAAATTTGTCTTTGTTTCATAATTCATTCTTTTGCTATAATGCTCATGCAGGCAATTAAGGATCTTGGCCTGCTCCCCAATGCAGGTAGAAAACCAGAAAACGTCTGGAAAACTGTAGCAACGCTCTTACATAACTTGATTTAATTGACATTTATATAACATTCTACCAAGGGATAATTGAGTGAGTCTACATTCTGTAAAAATAGATGTGGAACATTTGAAAACACAGAGTATAGACTAGTCCACAGAACCAATTTCAGTAAATTTAAGAGATGTCAAAATAGACACAGTAAATTGATCACAGTGGAACATGAAAAATAGTATCAGAGGTATTCCTAGAAATTTTTCAAATGTTAGAAATTAAATAAGACTCTTTTAAGTCATACATGAATTTAAGAAAAGTGTAGAAAGGCATTTATTTGGAAGCTAGTTTGAAAGAACTAAATGGAAATGAAGACACTATCTCAGAATATTCAGGGAGCTTGGTGAATGACCTCATACATTATGGTGGATTGATATTTGGTGATCAACTTGAAAACCATCTGGATTGAGTCAGTGTGGTGCTGAGCTTAGAGGACGCACCTATAAAGGAGAACTGAAGAGGAAAAAGGAGCCCTGTGAGTTCTCCTAAGCACTGTTGTTGTTTGGAGCTGTTGGTTCTCCTGAAGGAACCTGTGGAGCTTCTTCCCTGATATAAACTTTGCTGATATCATTGGAGGATCTTCGTACCTTGTAGCTGAGAATGGCTGTGGTTCACTTTGGGGGAGCTCTAGTCCTTGCTTTGAGCATTGCTTCCTGGCTCCAGAGAAGAAGATGATGTGCTGCTCAATCTGCAGGAGGTTTATCATGCTGGCTTCCTGATATGAACTCAGCTCTTCTCATTGTCAGAGGAACTTGAGACCTCATTGTGCCTGAGGATAGCTGTGGTACTTTCCAGGGGAGCCTTGGTCCTTATTTTGAGTGTTGCTTTTTGGCTCCAATGTAGAACCCTCAACCTACTGGCAAAGATCCTTCATCCCCCTGGCATAGATTTTCTAGTTTCTACCACTGACCTTCGGACCTTTCCAGTGCATATCCATAAAACAGACTTGCATGAGTCATTGTGATGGGCTCTAGACCTGCAGCTGGACTCATGGGAGGCATTGTCATGGGTCCTAGGCAATGCAGGTCATTGTTGTGGGATCCAGGCTCTGAGCTGGATTCCTTGGGTCTCAGCATGGACAGGTTACCTGCACTTCTTGTATTTAAGTCTTGGGTGACTATTTCAAAATAATATTGTAAATTATGTGTCTTATATTATCTTATTTTCCTTGCAAACCCCTGACTACAACATACAGCATATATAACAAGAAAACTTCTCTTAGAAGTGAATGATTAAAATGAATATTTCAGTTGTCTCCATAAGAAACCATAATAAGAAAGCATTTACCTTAGAGTAAAAAAGATAGAAAGTAAGAAAATCTGAGAAGAAATTAATGAAATAAAAAATTCAAATGTAGATAACAGATAATGCACATAATACGAGCCTCTGCCTTGTCACTTGCTAGGAAAATCCATGCTAAAATCAGGGTGAGATACGAATATATCCCTATTACACTATCTACAAATTAAAAATTTTATCATAACAAATGTTGGTCAAGATGTAGAGCAACTAGAACATTTGCATACTGCTAAAAGGAATGTGAAATTTATAAAATTTCATGGCATGTTTGGTAAAAAGTTTGGGCAGTTTCTTACAAAATCAACCATATCCAGCATCTATCATATTGCTTAATTATTACACTGTTAAGAATTTGTGCAAAAGAAAGATTATTTTTATACAAACATATGTATACAAATGTTCACGGTAAGCAGCAGTATTCACAGTAGTTTTGTAATGAGAATTGATTAAATACACATCAGCAAACAAAAGGACAACCAAGTTGTGCTACATTCGTAATAGAATGTCAGTCAGGAACAAAAATAAAATAACCCTATTGGTGCCTTGAGATAACTAACTCTAAAAATAATTGAGTGCAAAAACAAAAATAGAACCAGTATACATTTTAGGACTCCCAGTATATTAAGTTCTTGTACATTGCAAACTACTCTATAGTGGCAGGAAAAAGATTAGTTGCCTAGAAACAGGAACAAAAATATAGGGATGTGCACAGTGAAGAGATTGCAGGGGCTGATAAGTTTTGCAGGTGATAGGTGAATTATTTTGTTGTTAGTGATGGTTTTGTGAGTGTATGCATTTTTAAAAACTTGTTCATTTATATACTTTGTATATGGTCAGTTTCCTATGTGTCAGTTATATCTCGACAGATTTAATAACAAATTTGAAAAGAATTTGTAAGCCGGTTTCAGTTTCTTATGTGTAAAATGCTCATACTATCAGATCTAGCTTGCCTGCTACTTATCACCTGTAAGCAATCTATTATTATTATTCATATTGACTCCTCTGTAGCACTGTCTTCTAAATTTAGAGCTTAAATATTTTTTCTATCTCTCTCAGCATATGGAAATGCCTGGGACTGTGCAAAAGGAAATGTGGTTGATAAAAGAGCTCAGAGGTAACTTGAAAACATCCACAACTAGAAACCTAGTGGGTCAGAGACTTACTGATCTGGTGAGAGAACTGAGCCATCTTCCCAGTGCCAGGATCTAGTTTTGGGAATTTGTACTAGTCCCATCCAATGAAATGACTTCACCAACTTAAAGAAATCCTGTTTGAAACCACAAATAAGTGAATATAAGATTATTCTCAGAAAATATAAAGGTAAAGCTATAATCACTCCATCTTTCCTTTTTGAAGTTGGAGGGAAACATTTTATCCCATAACTAGCATAATTCCTGCCTAAGCAATATATGCACAATGTCTGAAGTTTCTAAATTTTAGTGCAGAAAGCTTTGGGGTGAGCATCAGAAGGTCTAAGTTTTAGTGTTCCCTTCATACTCCAAGCTAAAGTTCCAGAGAGTCAATGTGTGTACTGAGATTTAATAAAGGATTAAAGCGAGTGCTTCACCTGGTCCACTCTACTGTAGATCTTCAGAAGGCTGGAGTTTTGAAAGACACAAGAAGCTTGGCTCTGATACCAGTTTTTCTTCTCATGAAAAAATTGGTAGCAGCTGTTTTTATAACATATCCAATTTTTAGGACATGGGCCACAGTAACTTTCTAGAAATATATAAAGAATATGGTATTAATTCTTGTATAATGTAATCCAGAAAAGTTATATGTATTTCCCATTAAATTCCAAAATTTGAAATAATTAAACGTTTGCCTAGTCATACCCAAATCCCCATCTGTACACATTCATGGGAAGGCAGATGCCAAAACTAAAAATTTTCTACTCTTCACAAATTCTTCTTCATTGTTTAAAAATATAGTGTTGGAGCTTGGCATGACTGATGCCATCTTGAGCCCTGCATTTAACTAGTGTCCTTTATTTGATCCAGGAAAATGGAAAATTATTCAGGGTATAATCCCATGAAAAAAGCAGAATGAGTTATACCCATAAGAGAAAAATAAACCTGCTCAACAAAAAAAGCAGGATACAGGTGTGAACCAAAAATTAATATAAGATTCTAGATAAATTGCTTCCAACAGGATGTCTTTTTGTGATTCTCTTTAAAAGTTTTATAATTTTCCCATTCAGGGCCCTCAGTGAGACTCTAACATGGGTACATGTGAATGGCCGCTGAGCTCAGCTAATTAAATTCCAAATTTGTGAGGTTCGCTGCTTGGATTCCTATATTAATTATGAAACCACTTCATATAAACCCACCTTGAAATATGGAAAAAGATTAACTATTTCTTTTCTCTATTTTTTAATGACATCGGGTCCATTCCAGTAAACACAGATATGAGAACTTTTGCTTCAAAAGACTAAAAGGGTTCACTTACCTATTGAAGGAAACGAAACTCCTTTGATGATTAATGCTATTAAAATAATTATAATATTAAAATTTTATATAATTATTGCTAACAAGATACAATTCAAGCAAAAACAATTGATAAATTTGAAGACTAATGGCAAATAATATTAAATTCTACTTTATGTGCATTTGAATACTAATCAAAGTAATGCATTACAGTTATGTGATTAACCACTGCAATCCAGTTCATTGCAACTTACATTTGGTGACTACGGCAGCCCATATCGCTAACATAACGAGGAAACGGATCACCACAGTTATAGCAACAATATGGCCAAAAGGCATTGGAGATACTGTCAAAGAAAAAAAAAATCAAGACAAAAAAGGAAGGCCGGAGAATTCACGTTTCATGTAAACTTTAGTGTGTTTTTATGAGGGAGTAATGTAAGTGTATTTATGCTTTAATTGCCTTTCCCAGATCAGGTTACCTAAGCATTTCACAAATAATTAAAAAATTACAAAAAGTAATATTACATCCTGTAATTCTTACAAGTTCTCTAATCATCTCCTGAAATAAATCACAATTACTAATTTTTGTTATTTTCTGTAAACAAAATAAGATAGGCCTTTTCTTCCATCGAGTTCTTAAATCGTATTTCAGAAATACACAAATATTCCAAGAAATTTCTCTTGCTTAATACAATGTCCTGGTAATTAGATGCTATCATGACTTATGAAGATGTTAAGTTTTATTATAGTTGCCTTATACTTCATAGATAATCTGAACAAATTTTATGTAGTGACATTAAATTTTTTAATAGATATTTAAATTTTTTTTTGTTATTTTTTTGCTGTTTTAAATGATACATTTTATATACACCTGTGCATATCTTTTAGTTCTTCTCTATGAAAAATTCTTTCTATTGTAATTACTGAGTCAAAGGTTATGGACAGATTCCATTTTTACAGTGGCTGAAAATTTCAGCCCAAAAAGATAAAACCAATTTGCAGAATGGCAAAAATAAACTAAACATATGTTTTGTTGCATCTTTATCAGAGTAAATATTCTTTACATGACTAAATGTATAACTTTGGTAGGTAATACTTTTCAGTTTTAACTTTCTATTTTCTTTTCTGAATAAAATTGAGTATATTTTATTGTATATAAATCATTCTTTTATTTCTTTTTTGCTTTTTGCATTAAGTCGCTGCTTTGTCTCTTACTTTTGTAGATTGAGAGTATGACACTCTCCCTCACCATATTTTGCAAAAACTCATTTCAGATGTCATTTCTGTTTCAACATTATTTATGATCGCTTCCAAGGGCTGAATGTTTCATTTTTCTGTGGACCACTTCATCATACTTTCCTTTATGTATTTTTTTTTTTTTTTTTGGTCTTTTTGAGACAGGGACTCGCTGTACAGTTCAGGCTGGTCTCGAGCTCACTTTGTAGCCTAGGCTGGTCTCGAACTAGCAATGATCCTCCTGCCTCAGCCTCCCGAGTGCTAGGATTACAGGCATGAGCCACCACGCCCGGCCCTTTATGTATGTTTTATGGATAAATACAAACTTTACTGTTCTGAGTTTATGATATTAAATATGCCCATGCCTCATCATAATGTTAAATTTCTTGTTATTTTATCCATTGATGTTTGCATCAGTGTCTGTGTGTCTTTGTGAATTATGTTTGGCAGGAGATCAAATTTATAGTTGATTTGTCAAATGAGCATTGAAATTTTCTAATTCTACTGTCGGGATAAGCTAATATGCCCTCACTGACTATAAAATGTCATTTTTAGCACATAATACTGCATTTCCCTCTATGTACTCCAGTTGTTCCTATTTAATCAGTCTGTTCACTCACTAAGTGTACAATTTACCTATCTGTATGAAATGCTTGAATATTTAATAATGCCTGTCATGTCTTAATACATTTCTTGATCCAGTGATTTTGGTACAATTACGCTTTGAGACATACAAAATTTAAAATGAATTTGTCAAAGGCATGCTAATTCTAAAGTATGATATATTGTCTATAGATATGTAGAAATAATTTAGGTCTGCTAAATCTTCTTTTCTATCCTTGAATAATTTCTGTTCCACTCAGCATATTTATTCTTTGTTCAATAGTAGCAATTCAAATTAATACATTTTTAGGTGTTTGTGTTTTAAAAAAAATTATTTTTACATTTTCCCTTAAAATATATCTTGTCCCATCACAGTTTTTTCCCATCTATTTGTAGTCAAGAAGATAGTTCAGTTTTATGTCTTAATTTTCAACCAGGTACTCATATGAGGGATAATATTGTTTATAATATTCGTGGAATGCATGTGCCCATATCTTATTTCCTTGGATACTACATTTTGAAGTTATATTAATTTTTTCTTTTAATTCTGACTTTACACTAATTTTTCTTGATCAGTAGTTAGCATCAGCAAAAATCATTAATATTAAACAAGAGTAAAAATAATAGTAAATAACAATAAAAATATTTTATTTTTCTAACTATAGTAAAAATGTCAGCATTTTATAGTATAACGGTGCTTTAATTTGTGCATTATCTGTACATGAATATATATCAAGTTCTATTGATTTTTATCCAACATCTTCATACCATTATTGGTACAATAGTTATCTTTCTCTTTTGATTAAAACATACAGCATATTTGCATTCTGAAAATTACCTCCATATAATGACATTTCTTAGTAATTTATTTCTTAGTTTTTCATCAAAATTAATAGATGAAGATGATATAATTATTTTCTTTTGGGCATCAGTTTTCCCAAACTGTAATATTAATAATCTGACTTGGAAAGACATTTGAGTATCTATCTTCTCCATTATACTCAGAAACATTTCCATAAATAGCAATCAGGTCATTTCATCTATATATTTAAGAACATAACTTTTGCGAATTGTGAAAATATTCCTGTCCTCTCTTTCCTACTCTTATTTTTCTTCCTTAAAGGTAGTGACTCAGTGATAATGGAAATCTCCTGTCCTATTATTATGATGATGAGTAATCTCATCCATTTGGGGGCCTGAAAAAGTGCTAAAGACTAACTTATGGGCCAGGGATTTAGTGACATAAGTGCCTGCCTGGGAAGCATGAAACTGTGCGTTAGATTCTAGGTACCAAAACAAAAAACAAAAAACCTCACTTATTCTAATTTTATTTTGTATTTAAGTTTCTATTACAGTAAATGTCATCTCTCTGCTTTATCGTGAAGGTAAAATAAACTGAGTGATTGTTGTTGATTTAATCAAATCATTTCCAACATTCACCTCAGTACACTGAGAGGTATCAAATGGAATGTATGACTTACCATTTTGCGTACATCTGCCTGTAATCAGTGAAGATTTGTGTTTTTGCCTCCTTTCAGAAGTATTACGTGTTGCTCGTTGAAGGTTGTGATCACTCAGTTTTCTCATCTTTAGGATAAAACAGTTCAAGCCAGTATGAGTTCTGTCACTGCAGCCACTGAGGCCATGACATTCTAATATTCAACCAGACATATCTGTGAATACACTTCCCATCAGTATCCTTGCTAAAGGATAACATGGCTTTCTTTTTACAGATTTTGATTCATTATGTTTCTCTTAAACTTTATTTTTTGCATATATTGTATTTCCATATGCAAAACTAGCACTTTAAAATGTTTTGTCCTGGAAAAAAAATCTCATAAGCTGCTTCTGACAAGAATGACCAGTAGGAGGCAGTTTCTAAAGACCTCATAGAGAAGAAAGAGCAGATTAAGCTGCCCATAGAAATAAGCGCATTTCTGGAACTGTCTTCAGTTTCTTATTTTGACCGGCAAAGTAATTCAAAAGTTTGAAAGGAAAATCTAAAGGAATTACTTTAAGGGTTTCTCCACACTGCGTCCAGTTTTAACATACAGAAAGGGTCCTTGAGAGTAAAAGTAAAAGTAAAAGCTCATTCTTTTATTTAAAATATGGTAGTGATATGTATTTCACAGTTTAATTTAAAAATTTGTTTCTGTTTTACTAATTCTTTTTTGTTTCTTTGACAGTTTTCAATGGTAAATTTTAGGTACATATAATTGTCACACACATCATAGAGAATTTGTATCTGCATCTGTACATGATATAACATGTTCCATTAGAGATGTTTTTTTTAAAAAATAAGGTATGATGGACTTAGCATATGCAATGTCAATTGTATAGAAATATTTGGTAAATACATGTGAATCTAATTTTCTTGATAGTGGAGAATATACAAAGACTAAAATTGAATTTAAAGCTTTTGCATAAAGAAAAATTAAGAATCTTGGTTATGAAGAAAATGAAATCATTTGTATTAAAATATTAAATTCTGAAGATTTAAGTCTTTTATAATTGATATAATACTAATTAATTTGTACCTAAAAATTAGACTTAAACATTGCATTCATACAATTCAACTATTAAACCTGAAGAAAAGATGGTAAGTATAATTTTATGGATGAAGAAATTGAATATTAATGATTTCAAAAATCATATTGATTATTTGATATCATGCCATTAATCAAGAGTAATGTGTTAGTCTTTTAGGGTAAAAAATATTTTCATATTATTTGTAACTTGATTTGAATATTTTAGAAGTTAATTAAGATAAATATGACATGTTTTATTTTACTATTTGATAGAAAAAATGAAAGTGTATAAGAACTCTGGATTACTCCTGTCTTGAAGCCAAAAAGTGGCAAATATTTTTATTAAAATTCAAGTTTTCTGCTTCCAAATCCTAATGGCATTTCATATTTCAACTTAGTTAAAATTGTGAATGATTTCAATAGTGGTGAATGATGAAATATGGAGAGAAAAATTTCTTAAACTTTTGATTTAAAATAAAATCTGCCTACTTACAAAATATACAAAAGCAGAAGCACATATTGAAATAGAAGTACGTTACCAAGATGTGGTGAACTTCATTCATAAGTCGGCCCCGGTATGGAGTGATGAGTGCACATTCAATACAGTGAATCTAAAGTTTTCCACCCACAAAAAGAGTCTTGAAAAAAACCACATTGAGCACTTATTTTTTACAGATTATTTTGGTGACAAAATGAAATCTTTTGATTGGAAAGATAACATTCAAAAATTCTACAGATACATATCTTTAAAAATTTTAAATGAAAATAATTCACATAAATCCAAGTAAAAATAATTTTATAATTCTATCTTGGTTTGCAGACAGTGATCAATTATTTCAAAACATCACGGAGTACATAATAGGTATTTTGAGTTCACCAGCATTAAAAAATTTAATCAAGGATACCTGATACCACTGATATGAAAAACAAATGTAGTCTTCTGTTTGTAGTTTTTATCTTATTTTGTGATAATTGGTTTCTTTCAAGATAATCTTATGAAAGATGCATGCACTTTTATTGGATATTATTACCCATCACATTTTAATCCAACATTGTCCGTATCATCACCATTATCAATAGTAACACATTATCATCACTATCATGAACAGACATGAACTCAAATATGCTTATATATAAATAATGCTTTACAAAGTCTAGCAGAGCTCTCAAAGAAATAACTATTTGTTAAATGTGTATACAATTTAGTTTTTAAAAAAAACTAATCACATTTGATTACAGTATTTAGAACAAATGGATATGACTTATTTCCTTATTTCATCTTGTATACTGTATATTCCAAAAGAAAATATATGTAAGAATTCACCATGAAACGCAATCTTTCCGATTCCAAATGTAAGGAGTCATTCTTATAGTTATGATTAGTGACAAACCTTGTTCCTACTGCAACAATTTTAACTTCCATTTCTTTAGTAAATATCCTAACTGCTTATCATTGGATTCCATGATAGAATAAACCTCAGAAATGGTAAGTATTCTTGGCCATCAGCACTTCAATTCAAACACCTAATAAATAATTTGAATTGTCTTATATTACAACATGATCTGAGCTTGAAACATAGCCTCCCCCAACACACACACCTGCTTAGAGAAGGAAGATCCTGAGTCTGGTGGATAAAAGGCTTCCATAGAACTAAACACTTTAGACATACTCTGAGTTCCTAATTTAAAATTGAAAGTAGAACTGGCTGGTTGATTTCAATACACAAGAAACACATGACAAGAATTATTCTAATCTCTTCCTGTGAAGAAGATGTAATACAAATCACAATACTTTCATTTTATGGCTGCACAAAAATTTTAATTTGAGGGAGCTGTGGCTACCCCTTGACTGATCAATGTTAACTTCTAATATTTAGGACTTAAAAATGATAAGTTTAATGATGAAAATTAGAGTTTTGAGAAAAATATTGGATTATATAATCTATTTCTAAATCAAAAGTAAACATAAAAATATGGTTAAATAATTACATGAAAGCAAGCAGAGAAGAAAAAGTCTTGGGTCATCTGTGAACATACTTATTAATTTGAATGGAACCAAGCACACTTCATTAGGCAGGCTAGAGTGACAGAAGGATATCTTTTGTGCCCCTGTACAGAAAAGCACACACACACACACACACACACACACACACACACACACACACGATGTGCTTTTCATTATGAAATTAGAAGACATATCCAAATCAATTCCATGATGAGTTGTCATAAGTATAGCTTAAATAATTATCAGTTTATGATCAATATTCATTTAGCTATGATTCATGTGAATGCCATAGATCCATGTCTACCTTTTTCCTTGTAGCTATAACTTTTTATAACTTTCTTTTAATTTGGCAGAATGACAGCAACAAATCTTATACAAAATAAAAGTATAATCAAAACTATTCTGATTTTTAGCTTTTTTATTTGTAATTTGTATTGTGCTGAAAAACGATAAAGAAACTGTCACAGCCAAAAGAAGGCTAAAGAGACTTAACAACTAAATGTAATGCAGTACTCGAGGTGGCATAATGGATCACAGAAGGACATTACGTTAGACTGGTATCGCAGAACTCTGGGAGGCTGCGGCAGTGGGTAATGTTTCAGACAACAGGAGGAAAAACAGCATAGATGCTATTTATTTCATTGAACACTGACTTACTTTGATGCCAAAACAAGACAAGGATATATAAATTAAACAAAAGGAACAATCCATCTCACACATGAGTATCCCAAAACAGTACCAAAAAAAATCAAAGGGTGATTATTTCAGGTTAGAATAGTAATTTCCCTCTAGAATAAAAAGTCTTCACGTATAATTTGCTATAAAGCATAGGTAAGAAATAGAACATCACAGCAAAATAGAAATGACATCCTTCAATATCTTTCCATCATTAAAGCAATCCAGCACACATAGGGGATTTAATATTCTTAACTCGATTGTCTCAGTTGTTTTATTAGAAAATTGTGAGGATAAAATGACTCCTAAGATCACTTATTTCCATTTGTGTTGTAAACACTTAAGAAGATCTCAAGAAAATAAAGAGATAACAGCTCAGGAATTAAGAAAATGTTTCCCAGTGAAGTGTTCATCTGTGTAGAAAACAAAAATGTTTTAACAACCACCTACTATAACTGAGTTTATAATAATTGAGTTGCTTTAGTTTTAATCTTTTAAATATTATTATATTTCTAAGTGGGAAAATAATTGATTTTTTAAATGTACCATAAAAATCACAGTAAGAACACTACAAGATATTTATTAATATATCTAACAGAAATAGATATATGTGGAACTTACTGTATAATTGTATACAGATATATTAAAAATATCTTGTCAATTTGGTAGATTTTCTGGACATCATAATATGCCAAGTATTCTTAAAATAGTTTAGAGATTTAGTTCATTTTCAATTATGATCCCACGTTTTATTGTGGGACATCCAAGGTATAATCCTAAATATATATTAACTTACTGAACCCAAGGGTAGGGAAATCACTATGAAAGGTGGAGAGAAAGTGGTGTTAAGTAAGATACTTTGATCCATGTTAAAATTATGCTAAGTAAATGCACGCACAGAGAGACAAACTAAAAAGGGCAAGCCATGTAAATAGAAGAAAAATGTACAAGGCAGCACAGCAGATAAAGTAAGAAATGAGACCCTATCCACTAGTTCATGATAAGAAAATTTTTTACCAATATAAAAACATAAATTTGGGCATTTATTAAGTATGCATTACTTGCATAAAAATTAGAGACAGATATTCCCTTGGCATGTAAATATTAATAATATATGAGTTGATCTTCACTGACAAACTGATTAAATATACATCTTGTGTAGTTTAATTTATTCAAAACGTGTGAAATGATGTAATATTAAGGTAAGGTACAATAATTAATATAAAAATTTGAAGAAAATATAACTATCAATCTCAAAACTGTATACCAAGGACGGATACCAAATATTGTGTCATGATATGCTAAATTTGGAAAACAAACAAATTGATTCAATACTTCTTTTAATGAATATTATTTGTAAAGCACTTTATGGGCTGTAGAATATTGAAGTAAAAAAATTCAGACATTAGTATTTAAAAATATTAGCAATTCAATTTATGGAGGAATCACAAAAATAAGTTCTCCTAAATAAATACCATGATAACGCTCAGCACAGGAGCCATTTTGGCACAATTAATATGTAAGCAAAACTGATAAAGTAGGAAAAGATTAATAAACAGAAAAACACTACATTGATGCCTGTGTAATTTTTTAAAAAATAAATTACGTAGACAAAGAAATGCTATGTTCAAAGAAACTTCTGTTTATTTCTCATGCCAAGCACGGACTCTCTCTTTCTACAGGTGTCACAGTGGGAATTCTGTTAGTGATTTGAGGAGCATTTCTTTAGGAAAATATTATTTTAAAGAAACAACAGAAACAAATTCATGCAGAAACAATAATTTAACTGTAAAAGTACATGTATGGCCTTCATATGGAGATATATATAACCAACCTCATAAAAATTTTGCCACAAAAAAATTGTAATGCAAACATCTTGGTTCAACTTATGTGGGAACTAACACCACAGCAGCAATTAGGAATTATTTTTGTCAGATGAGAACCACCAAGGCCTTATCAAATGTCCTTCTTGACCACTAAGCTTAGGCTTGGCCTTCTTCGTGGCTTAGTGCACATTAAGTTCTTCCTGTGTGCCCCACGTGGAGGAGGTGCTGAGACCACAGGCATTTTTGTGGTAGCAAACAGGGAAGTGAGTGGGACGCTTGCTTTGAGCTGTTATTTCTAAAAGCGGATGTAGTCAGAGGTTTCTACTGGGCAACTGGTGAAAAATTAAAGTAAAATATGTTTGTTTAGAGCTAGGTGCAAATTTTATAATCTTGATGTTTCCATGAATGACAATGTAAAAAGAGCAAAAAATCCTGAAGATGATGCATACTTTTTAAAAGCATTTTATTTTTTACATTAGCATATATTAATATTCAGTCTACATTTTAACATACTTAGAGCAGTTGCTGAAAAAACCCAATATCCCATCATCTTAGAAATTAAAGGCCATTCAGTTGAGGTCTCAGACATACATGAGAATGTCTTATTGAGAACTAGAGGGACGGAAATCATTAAACATCTTTGCACAGTTCGGCTGTATTATGTTCATGGCCTGGGGCTTTGTGTTAGGCAAAACTTAAGAGTAATAACCTAGGGTTTCTAGTTGAAGTAAAAAGAGGCCACATTAGTTACCTTTAATTACCTAGAACAATGTAAGAGAGGAAAAGAAGCACTTAAGAGTAGAATATGTAATTTTTTAAAAAGTGCAACGTAGAAACATTGAAAAGTCATGGCCTGGCTATGTGAAGATTAAAAATCCATGCACAAGCAGGCAGAGTGATCAGTTACAAAAAGATGACCATTGATGACAAGTGGTAATTCTCAAGATAACTTTTAAAAAGCAGCATCCAAAGCCTTTTGGTGGTTTGTGAAGTCATCCTCTCTTCACAGACCCAGAGCTTTAGAAGGGCACAAAGATCTTGGGGGACGAGTCCAGGGCACCATGCATAGGCTCACTGCACAGCACTACATAGGACTCTACTCCCCACATTCTGGAGCAGCTGGTGGACTATA